TATCTGAGGAGGAGCTTTCCAAACAGAACAGCAACTTGAAGGCCATGAGGTAGGAGCATGTTGTTAGCATGCTGAGTCTTCATCTGGAGCGCAGCAAACCAGGACTCTGGTGGGAGGTGTGGTCAGAAAGAAAGGCAAGGCCGAGATGATGTAGTGCCTTGTGCCCAGAAAGGACTGGGTTTTAGGCTAAGTGATATGGGGAACGGTTAAGGGGAGGGGAGGGGATTTGACCTGGCCTGTTTTAAAAGGATTATTCAAGCTGATGTGAGAAAGGGCTGAGATAATAGGGGGGCCGAGGTGGGAGCAGAGAGTCGTAGATTACTGCAGCTGTCCTGTGAACGATGGTGGTTTGAGGGTAGCAGTGGAGTTGGTTATTTGAAGGTCGAGCATCGGTAGGATTCACTGGGTAATTGTAAAGGGTCTAAGGGAAAATGAAGGGTTAGGGTCACTCCAGAGTCTTTGGCTTGTGCAGCTAGGTGAACAAGGAAGAAGCAGATTTGCAGTGGAGCAACAGGGATTTGCTTTGGACCCGTGAAGATTAAGATGCTTAGCAGGCTTTCAATCTTAATTCCAAGATTAAGACGCTTAGCATGAGGCAGAGAACTGAATATGTGACTCTGACGTTCAGGGGAGAGGCCAAGTAGGTGATATCAATTTGGGAGTCCAACCTCTAGGTGTTACTTGAAGCAACTGACGTGCATGAGATTACCAAGGTTTGACTGTAGATAGAAACAAGAAGAGATCTGGAAGCTTGAGGTAGGTTAAGATGATATGAATCTGTACTCATAGAAGCATCTGGGTGAGGAGGGGTGATTGCAGTTTGGGCTTCTAGTAACAGAGGTACTGGGGTTTAGGGCATGTTGGCAGGAATCCTCATGGTCTTTTAGAGCAGGCGGCCAATCAGTGGTAGGTATAGCCTCCTTCTTGGCCTCACCTGTCAGGAAGTTTGTGTTAGGAAGGGGGGATGTTGGGAGTGGAAGGTGGTCCACCTGGGGCAGACTGAGCTTTGTGCGTGCTTCCCAACCATGAAGCATAAAAGCTTCAGAGCCCAAGGGCCAGGCTCCCTACGGGCCGCCGTCTGGCCTCTCTGGATCACCGCAGGCTGCACGAGAACGATGCACAACAGGATCCGGCACAGCGGAGTTCCCCAGTAGATGCAGTTTTCAAAAGGGCTGTTTGTGTGCAGTCCGGTCAGTCACCCTTGTGTGAGTGGAAGGTGACAAGATGAGTTGCAGTCTCATGCTGCTGAGCCGGTCGCCAGTCCTGTTTCATTACATCCACGTGCATGTCTACCCTTACTCTGCCCCTAGTTTGTGTTGCCATTACTGTTTAACTCTCAAGGAACAACTGCATTTCCTTTCCTTTCAAGTTCTCAAACAGGACCTCACTGTGTCCCCCCAAGTCCTGTCAGCTCATTTGAAAGGGTTTTTCGGGCATCTCCAAGGGTCCTCGGCCAACGCTGCCCATGAAATTAATAATAATAAAGCCAGACACGGTGCCAGGATGGGAGACACCCAAGAGGACAAGCTTGGTGGCTTCTATATATATACACAAACGACAGCAACAGAGAGACACATCTTTTGGAATTGGATTAGACTTAGTTGGTAAAACTTGGAGTCATGCTTCCTATTTTCTAATGCTTGTTCTTGAAAGAGTTACTAGAGCAGCATTGAATCATTTTCATAAACCGGGCCTTTCTGCACTTTTCACATTACCCTGTAATCAAACACCCTCACCTCCAGTCTCCAGCACACCCTCCCCTATGCAGCTGCTCTGAGTGTGGGACAGGCCAATGACAAGGGTTCCACGTTGGGGCCTCAGAGGTGCACGGCGCTTCAACACAGAGCCACGCTAAGAGGAGGCAGGGGCTTACCCAATCCCCATCTTAAGGCAGCTTTGGGTGTGGATTCATTAAGCTTGCAAAAGGGGCACCCAGAGAATGTGCAGCAGGAAAGATACTCAGGGCACAACACAGTGCCTTAAATGTGGAAGGATTTAATACACGTTTGTTGAATGAAAAAAGGATAAGTGAGATTGAGAACCAGAAAAACGGGTCCTTGCTAGGCTCTGCCACCACTTCACCGTGTGCAAGTCTCTTTGCCTTTGGGGGCTTTAGGGTCCTCACCTGTAAAACGAGAGGATTGGACAGTATGACCTTCATCAGCTAGCTTCATCAGCTTCTCACAATTAGATGATTAACCCCTTTCAGGAGGGCAGACTGGAGAACAGTTAAACGCATGGCCTTCAGAGCCAGGCAAGTCAGGACAGGAATTCCAGCTCTGTCACTTAGGGTATGACATGGCCAGTGCACTCAAATTCTCCAAGCTTTCTGCACCTTCAAGTAACAAGGTTATTTTGGGGATTGAATGAGATGCTACAGGAACTTATTACAGAGCCTGGTATATAGTAACTGTTCACTTACTGATAGCTGTTATCATTAGTGTCAGTATTGCAGAGATGGTGGTGATGAATCAGAAAGAAAGCCTCTTGGAGAAGTCGGAATTTGAGCTGAGCCCTAACAACTAGGTGGGATTTAGAGAGACCCAGGGGGGAGTAAGGTGGGAGAGAGGGGCTCATAAAGGGCAAGGGTCATATAGAGGCGGTAGAACAGGAGGGATATTTCAGGCAGTGGTGGGAGTTGCAAGGAGAAGAGAATTACCCGGTAGGAGAGACCAGGGAAGTCACAGCCCATAGGGCACACACGGGTGCTTACGTGGGGATCTCTAAGGAAAACTGCACATAGGAGGCTCCGTGACCCCAGCACTCTTTCTAAGCCCCTGGATCCTCCCTGCTGCCTAAACGTTCAAACTCTGGACGAGGGATACAGAGCAGCTGTCACTTCTAGGCCATAGAGTCATTTCAAATGCTGTCATTTTTCAAAAGGGAATTTAATTCTGTAAGTTTTATTCCATAGATATTAATTGACCTTATTTGCTCAT